ACAATATTCAAAAATTTAAATTAAATTGTGAGTCCAACTTATAAGCCAGAATGTAGCAGGTCATATGTATGAATCTGTGATCTAGTCAGAGTACTCACACAGTATTTGAATAGGTTAATATATTCAAAAATATCAACTAAGAAAAAGTTTTCATGATAGTAAAGAATTACTAAGAATAAAACATAACAAAAAATACTGGAATGGCAAATATATGACCAGCATTTTTAACAGTTTGGGGATAAGATATTGCACGAAGTTCTAGTACACCATAGACATGGACAGTGTCCATGACACTTACTGGTGGCCAGGTGTCACTTGTGGGACTGAGCTACTTCTATTTCCTTGATATCCACCCTGTAGACTCAGACAGAATCATGACCCGTAAGGTGCAGGAGAAGTCCATGTGTAGAGTATGCTGGTGGAAATATTTTGCTGCTGTATACAAAAGAATAATTGAAAGACTGCTATTGTATACCTCTTTTTCTCCTGTGCTTAATTGTTTGCCCTATTTAGTGGGATCCTTCTGTTCTCATTCATGCAGTTGTGGTCATTTTGACCCCTCTCTAGAATATCTTTTAGTAATCTGTGTAGGGTTGCCTTTGTTGTCATGAAATTCTTTAGTTGTTCTTTGTCATGGAAGTTTTTCACTTCTCCATTAAACCTGAAAGAGAGTTTTACAAAGTATTTCAGTCTGAGCTGGAATTTGTTTTCTTGTAAGACTTATAGTGCTTTGCTCCATGATCTTCTTCTTTTTTTTTTAACTGAGGATTGAACTCAGGCCCTTGTGCTTGCCAGGCAAGTGCTTCTTCTACTGAGCTATCTCCCCAGCCCCTCCATGCTCTTCTTGACTTGATGATAGAAATCTGCTGTTGTTCTGATGGGTTTTCCTTGATTTTTTTTCTTTGCTTTGTTCTATTTATTTCTTGGAGGGATGGGGAAGAGGCTTTAAAAAAAAGTTCTCTATTTCAAAGAGCTTTCCCAAAAACTGGCAATTCATTTTCATGACACATGAGCATCGATGCACAGTATTCTCGCAACTTTTATGACAATCTAAATCCAAATACATATGTTTTCTGAAATCCAGTATATTTATCTGAACATATATTCTCATTTACATATGAAAGAAAGGAACTGGCACTTTGATTTTGAAAGCAAATTTAAAATTACAAATCTAACTTGTCTTTGATAAAAGACCATTCAGCTATCATAGCCTCAATCATTACATCTAAGGAAACTGGAATTAATTAAGGGACTGCTGGTTCAAAGAATTATACCTCCAATAAGGGAATGAGGGAAGAACTCTAAGTCCACACACAAAGTTCAGAACAAAATATCAACAATCTCCTCAGGGGCCGGGGAGATAGCTCAGTAGAATAAGCTCTTGCTTGGCAAACATAAAACATAGGGCCTGAGTTCAATCCATAGTACTGCAAAAAAAAAAAAAAAAAAGGAAGTAAGAATTACATGAATGTTAAAAAGTATATAGAAAACTCAGAATGTTTTAAGTTTATCACTTACTACATTATAATACAATGCTTGTAAGGAAAATAATCATGCAAAACAAGAGGGTAGTTATATTGTTCAGAAGTTTTTGAGAGAACTGAGGACAGTGCACTCCTGTAATCCCAACATAGGGAGGCTGAGGCAGAAGAATCACTGTGAGTTCAAGGCCAGCCTAACCTGCATAGTGAGACTCTGTCTCAAGACAAAAAAAAAAAAAAAAAGTTCTTAAGAGTGTACAAATGATATATGCCCAAAGCACTTGGAACACTGACTCAGGATCAGTATGAGTGTGAGGTCAGCCTGCGCTCCCTAGTAGCAAGTTCAAGGCCAGCCTGAACTACACAGATGAGACCCTGTCTCACAAAAGAAAGGAAAGAAATAACGAGGATCAACTGCCCTGATTTAAATTTCATCACCTGTCTTGAAACAGATTACTCTGGAAGTTCAATATCTACACTGTGCCTTGAAAAGTCAAGGCAGAAAGTAAAATTACACAAAGCCAGAAATTCCATCAATACATCTAGACAGATGTTTGCTTGTAGTTTCTGGTATCCAAAACTTGTTTCCACACATCGCACAGATGCCTTTTTTGTAGGCACAGCCCTGGCAGTAATGAGAACCCAGCTGGTGCACAGAACTTTTACAAATTCTGCAAGTAGAGAACTTATTCTTTCCATAGGGATTGAATCTTGCTTTTTTTGAAACCAATGCTTTATTTTCATTCAGTTTTCTTCCACCACTCTCTGTGGTATTTCTTGCACCATCTTTCTGTGTGTCCAGTGTAATAACAGTCCCAAGTTTCTTTTCACATTTTTCACACACCATCCTTGAGCCCACTAGTCCCTCAACCACTGAAGCTCTGGTAGCTTGAAAACATCTGGGTTTTCCTTTAAATGTAATCTGTTTCTTTTCTCTACCAGCTTTTAGTACACTGTTCCTGTGCTGAATTTCTGGGATCTTGATTATTATATATGGTTTTAATTGGGTTGATGTTATTTGGAATTCTATATGCTTTGGTTACCTGAATGTCAGGTTGTTTCCCCATATTTAGAAAGTTTTCTGCTATTACTTCTGTCTATATTCTTTTTATATCATTTGTATTGATTTGTATTGACTCCTTCTTTCTCAGTGATACCTATTAGTCTTACATTGTTCATCTTTGCATATCTTGCAGATGTTGAATTATTTTTTCCTGCATCCTAGTTGTTTTCAAGAGATTTTTTTTTCTTACCTTGTCACTGTCTTCAGTGGTGTCTTTAAGGTCTGAAAGTCTATTTTCACTTTCACTCAAATGATTTTGCCAGCTTGTGATTGAGGTTTTAATTTCCTGGATAGCACTTTGAATCTGCTTCATGCATTCTATTTCTTTCCTATATTGCCATTCAAGGATTCCATCATTTTTCTATTCTCCTCTATGCTTTTATCAGTGTCTCTCTTAGAAGCACTTAGTACTTCATTATAGATATCATTCCTTTTTTCACTTCAGAAATTATTTGTGATTTGATTTCTTCTGTGCCTTTCTGTAGATGTTTCTTTATTACAGAAGTTATTATTTCAGAGATTTCAGGTGTGTTATTTCAATTTCTTCTATGCTAGTGTCTACTGCATTTGTCTGGTACAGTTACTACCTTAGCACCAGGTCCAGATCTACTAAGTTCAAACTTGTCCAGGTGGGTGTGGCTTGGGTCTGGCTGCTGTGCTCCACTGTTTCATTCTGCAGTCTTTGAAAGTGAACCCACTGTGCCACTCTGACAAGATGTTCTGCTCCTGGACCAACTGGGTGTGTCTTGCCTCTAGCCTCTCTGCAGGGAGATCTGCTGCAGGGTTCCACACCAGGTCTGTCTGATGGAGGAAGTTCCACACAAATGCCTGGCCTGGACATTGGCTGGAGTGAGGATCTGGCAGACTCCAGGAGTCCTATATTATTCTAAAAAGTGTGACAAATGATACATAATTTCACTGAACAAGATTAAGGTATTAATGTTTAAATTTTTTTTCTTCTTTTTAATGTTTTTTGTCCCCTTGTGCATCCTTATGTTTGGTAATCCAAACCACTAACTTGAAGACAACAATATGCAATATGACAAGCATTGTTGAATTTCTCTTATTTTATTTAGTGAAAAATATGTATTTGAGGGGCTGGGGAAATAACTCAATTGTCTAAGTGCCTGACAGGCAAGTGCAAGGACCCAAGTTCAATCCCTGGTATTGAATGCCATGCTGGCCCTGGAACCCAGGGCACACTGTGCTGGCCACAGAAACCAGGTGTGGTAAGGCACACCTATCATGCCAGTTCTTGGGAGGTTGAGACAGGAGGATCACTATGACTCTGAACTGCAAAGCAAGACTGTGTAACAAACAAACAAAAAATTAAAATATTCTTAAAAATTAATAAAGTTAAAATAAGATATGTATTTCAATGAAAATTTTCAACTCTACACAAAAGTGGAATAAAGAAAGTGCCCATAACTCAGATTCAGCCTCAAAATTACTAAATTCATTTCAACTGTTCTTTTTCCTCTTTTCTTCATTTTACAATATTTTCAAGCTATGATATCAGGTGATTTTATCCTGAAGTATTGCATCATGCCCCTCCAAAAAAAAAGGATTTTCTTCCACAAATACCATTCCATTATGACATCTAACAAAACTGATAGTATTTCAGATAATCTAAGCCCATTTTCCAGATTTGTTCAATTTTCTATGTGTTCTAGTTAATGATTCACTCTAAGCATCATATAAACAATGTCCACTTATGGTATTTTTTCTGCCTTAAATCCCATTTCAATCTCTCATGATGTATGTTTCTGTTTTATTAATAGCAGCTCTAACATCATTAGTTCATTAACAGTAGTGATAACTGGAAACACTAACATGCATGTGATAGACTTGCCTCCAAGGGTTCAGTCTTCTAAGCGATACATTTCTGTAATCAAAGTCACAATTTCTTAAATAATGTGCAACTACACAGTAGACTGGCACAGTCCCTGTCTCATCTGGGAGATGATAAAACCTACAATGTCTAGTGACAGAGACTAACATGTGGCCATTCTACCATTTAACATGAGGGGAGTCTTGAGAGATTTCCTTAATATCCCTGAAAAGTACTGTTTTCAACTCCAAGAGTTATCACTAATGCTACAATGATAAGCACTTCCTTTTGCAAAAAGAATGCTGCCTGTTTCTTTATCCTGTTTTTCATTGTCATCAAACTAGGAATAGTGTGCTGCTCCCAGCATACATGAAATTCTCACCTTACCTTAGATTACTTGCTACACATAATTCCATTATATGGGTACTGATATTACACCTGTTTACATCTGACAACAGTGAGATTCAGGACATGAATTCACATCCTCCAGGGTCAACATTTAGAGAGCACAGGAGCCAGGACTCACACCTAAATCCTTCTGACCTTCTATTTAGTTTGCAACCTCTCCACTGATCCCCAAATTCTGGCACTGGGTCACACATCCAGCAGGCACTCAATAAGCTTGTATAACTCAGTGTCTTCCTCTTTCTTTTCCTCCCAGAGTTCACTTCCCTGTGGCTGGCTACTACCACTGGCCCTATACAGGTCTAGGCTTTATGGTGAGGAGAGAGGTGACTGTTGAGATTGAATGCTGTGCCTGGGACCAATTCTTGAGCACAAATGACTTGCAGGACACCTGGATGGTGGCAGGACCTCTCTTTGACATCAAGGCTGAGCAGGGAGCTGTGGAGGCTGTGCACCTCCCTCACTTTGTGGACCTTCAAGGTAAGTCACAGAGGAAGGGAAGAGGGTGCTGATAAAAATGGGCTAAAAGTGATATTGGATGTGGAAGAATTGGGAGATAAGTCATAGCTTCCTTAGCAAGGCAGAGAGAGCTATGGGTATGGAAATAGAGTGTTTCTCATTGTGCTCTTTTCTCTGCACATGTCTCTTATTCTTATAATTGGGTTTTTTACTGAGCTTACCTGAAAATTTACATAAGTGCTAAGTTATCCCTCAATAGCATGATTAAGTAGCATTTAATAAGTGCATATTACATTTGTAATGTCTCTCAGAAACCCAGTGATAATCATGTCATATACTCTTAAGATATTTGTAGTGATTTTGAAATAGCACTATGTACAAGGCAAAGCAGTGAGAAGTAACAGTGAATTCTAATACACTGAGTCTTTCAAAAACGAGAACATACCTGCAATATCACCTGATTTCATTTAGCAGCATAGTCCACAAAAGTGGAGTTTTCTAACAGAAGATAGTAGTAACTATGCCCCAGCCATAGATAGTAGTAACTATGCCAAAGATTTCCAACAGATAAAGCTGAAGAAACAGAAACTTCCAGACAAAACTCAAAAGCCATATGTGAGACCTGCAGAATCTCAGGTACCAAATGAGCCCCTTAAATACTTCAGACATTGAATTATCAGAGATATGATATAAAATAAAAGTGTATAATAAACTGAGAAAAAATGAGGTCTTGAATATATGAGCAAGAAGCAAGAAACCATTGAAAACAATAAATTAGAAACAAATTCAGCAGGCAGAAGATACAAAAATTATTTTTTAAAAAGTTTAAGCAATGTGGAGGAAACTATGAATAGGCCTGATGTACATCTCATCGGAATTA